TTGCTAAAAATTAAATAAAGCATGTATGTATCTATTTGGGAAAATAAATTAACAAACTTGTTACGTTATTTTCTGGATGCGATCATTACTTGTAAACAACTGATGTCGCCGCTTGAGGAATCGTGCAGCTAAAAACAGCTGATTGTACGTGCTGACGTTTACTTAATAATAGCTCTTCAAAATTCCTATTCATTTTGTAATAATAAATATATATTATGCATATGTAATAATATATGTAGATTAATAGATTTTTTAGTTTCCATCCTTGCCAATGATGCACCTTACAAATGTGCCACGCCCACTTCACATTGGCGCGCCCTGTTTAATTTTCAAACCGTGGAGAACCCTGCGTGTGATCGTTGGTTGCCAGTGATAAGCTCTTTAAAGTGATTATTTGGTGAAACATCAACCTTTTGGTTCTCATCGTCGAGAACTAATAATCGAATAACGGACATTTCCATGGCATAATAGGAATAATGCACTTTGATCAATAATTCAATAATTCAGCTGGTTCCGTAAAATAACGTTCTTTACATGGCCACCACTTTATGTGCCCCTCTCACTGAAATAACATGTGACGCAAATTGAAGTACGAAACTAAGTTGAGAGCCTCGATCGTTTATTGGAGGAGAAATCAAAACTAATGTACCGCCACTTTTATGGGCGTAGCTTTCTTCCGGTGCGCTTCAAATTGCAGACATGCTGTCTGCATTATTTGTAACAACTTCTGTAAATTTGAAAACAAAGTGTGTAACCTATTGTAGTAAGTTATCAACATCTAGCACTACTTCAGCGTCAAATCAGTGCCTGGAATTGCTGTAACAATTCACTCATCACCAATGACGTATTTGGATATGGTTACACCAAATTATGTCATATTCACCTGCAACGGAATAGAACTACCAATATTTTTATATCATAAATTACTTTGAGGAAATGGTTATTTGAAAACATGCCATGACCCACAGAAAGCTGAATAAACCATTTAATTTTCAGGCTTTTATGGCATAGGTGAAAAGAAAATTTTGCAAAAGTCACCGACACAAATGTTGTAGGACCACTCAAAATTTTTTACTGTTACAAATTTTTCTAGCTTTTCAAGTCTTCAATAGTTTTTTATACATTATTAGGAGATTATTTAAATATCTAATTGTTACAAAACTCGGATGTGAGCAGTTATTTCATTTATGAAACATTCACTGTATGCCAAGCCGAGGTATCAGGATAATAAGACTTTTCAGCGATTATTCAAAAATCATAAAAAAAATATGCATAACAGGAATAACTGTTGTCACAACCATGAGATATTATTAAATAGAAATTACGAAACTGCACAAACGATACTTTGCTGTGGCTTTTACACGATTTAATTTGAATCATAGGAAGTTTATTGCCTGAACCCAGCTCTAAGGTGTTTCAACTCCTAAAACAGTTATACATACAGTTTGTCACTATTCTAGTTATTTCATCGGAATCTTCATGAATAATTATCACATTACATAATGTTTTGGACACTTACCTGTCTCTGTATTTGTTCAGGCATTCTTAACATCAATCCTACTATCTCTGTTTTGATGGTTTGTCTGTCGGCATCACTAATTTTGTTGGGAAAATCTTCCAGCTATAAACGAGTAGGAAAAAAATCAAAGAATATATCAATTGTGAAAAAACATTGCTAATGAGCTTACTGTAAATGCATTAATTATTCAATGGGTTTTAAAATTAACAGTGACCATGAAAAAAACTTCAAAATAGTGAAATTAAATGGTTTTACAGTACAGTGGCCCCTCGCTAAGTCGCGCCTCGGTAAGTCGCGATTCGGCTAAGTCGCGGGTACTTGGATGGCTCCCAAAATTTCTATTGTGTTTTGACAGCAATTTTGAAGTACAAAGACTAATGTTTCGTGGCATAGTGTTTTTAACTAACCGCTAAAGAGACAACCGAACACCCACTGTCCGTCAATTGCTGAGATGCAATGGGTGACGGCGGCCTTACTCAAGGTGTCAACAGGGGTGTCGAGTAGTGACCGTACGTACTTCTTGGCCGGTCCCATTTTGTTATACCTCTACAAAAACTCGCTACAATGAGTTGAATTCATAGCATTCTGATCTCTATTTCTCAATTGACGCTGTCGGAACTTTTCCCGAAAAACTGAGAGAAATTATCTATGAAGGTGGTTATTTTGACGAACATGTTTATAATTGCGATGAAACTGGTTTATTTTGGAAGCTGTTACCGTCGAAGTCGCAAGCAACAGCAAGCGGCCCACATAATATCAGACACAAACAAAATAATCAACGCAATGTTTACAGCAAACACAATCATGATTTTATTCGAATACTGCTGACACATGTGATGATACATCAATTAACTAAACCGAGGGTTTATATGTGCTTTTTATATGTTTTTCAATGCACGACCTCCCTCTTTCACGAGGTCCCTCGGTAAGTCGCGGCCCTCGATAAGTCGCGGTTTTTGCTTGGATCCCAACACCCGCGACTTAGCGAGGGGCCACTGTACTAAAAAACCAAACTTACAGCAGTTCAACCAGCATATTTGAATACTGTAAAATACTTTATTTTAGCTGGAATTTTTCGCTGTTTTGTATAGCATTTATTTTCACTGAAGAGTTGATGTAAAATATAGGAAAAAAGATGTATTCATTGAATTTTATTTTCCCTGAATCATCCCTTCAACAAAAATACAGTATTTTACTGGAGGCTCTGAAATTGCACTCTGAGAACATTCAAAGAGCTTTATTGTCTTTGCACGTGTGGCAAGAACTTCAGCTTTGAATTTTGTTAAAGTGTTTTACCACGATTCAGATTCAGTTAAAAAAACTGTTTGGAATTACTGCATGCTAGTGATTACAAACATTGTGGAATCTTAATGAATCTTCATCAGACCATCAGATATGAGCCAAGATTCCAATACACTTCATCAGACCATCAGATATGAGCCAAGATTCCAATACACTTCATCAGACCATCAGATATGAGCCAAGATTCCAATACACTTCATCAGACCATCAGATATGAGCCAAGATTCCAATACACTTCATCAGACCATCAGATATGAGCCAAGATTCCAATACACTTCATCAGACCATCAGATATGAGCCAAGATTCCAATACACTTCATCAATACTTACTAATCTTAACCAATTGAACGTCATATTTTCTCATCAGCATTTTTTGTTCAACATTTTACACACTTGTGTATTTTTCAATAATTTCTTTTAATTAATTTTGACCAACTTTCTGATGGACTGAAAGTTTTTTTTTTTTGCCATGAAGGTGCATATATAGTTACTTTTAGAAGTATTACTGTTCTCTAATTATGAAAAAACTAATGTCTCACTTTTCATTAATTAATTCACAAATTAATCTTGTATACGGTAAACTATGTCACCAACTTTGACGTGTTCAATGTTTTTGACGTCACATTTGAAAAACTTTCTTCTGTTTAAACTGGACACAGAGGAGGCTATAATGCGTAATGGAAACAGAATCAAGTCACTGAATGCAAAACATTTTTCTTATTGTGCTGTAGTTTGGATATGAAGGGGAAAGTAAATTACTCACAATTCGCCAGTTCCTCTTGATATAATTCTTAAATGTGATCGACGCAGATACTCTGATTGTCATTTCTGCATCCAACTTCTCAATCAGATGTAACAATAATATTGGGTATCCATGGTTACCTTCAACTGATTCCAGAAACTTTTCAGCTAAATATAAGAGATACTTGAGATTGAGTGAAAAGTATACAAGATAAGATAAGATAAGATAAGATAACGACATAAGGGAAAATCTTGGGGTCATGGGGCTTCCCCTGACCTAGATTTATCTCCCCATCATTGGTAGAATCGCTGATTAATGCCTACAGTTCAAAATAATCATTTTGACTGACCGGAGTCTATGGTGGATATTGAATGTAGTAAATTTCTCATTAGGAATAACAAGAAAGAAAATTTGAATTTTTTGATGTGAAAATTATTTTGGTTACTAGTAATTGCTAACATTGAAATTTTCATTTTGTGTCATGATTTTGGTTATTTCTACTTATAAGCACAAGAGCAATTGTAATTGTTTGTATGTTTTGATTGCAGTATTAATTGTTAATTGCTTCTTATTTAACTTGGGATCTGAAACTTTAAGAGGGAAGGGTTCAACTCAGGATAGAATCTTCCACCCTTTTCATTAGCAGCATTTTTTTTAATTTTCTCTAATTTTGCTGAAGATAAAACATTGAAATTTTCATTTTCTGTCATGATTTTGGATATTTCCAAAGCAAGTATTATTTATTAATATGTTGTGATTGCAGTGTTAATTGTAATTGCTTCTGGTTTACTGTTCAAACTTAACATACTAAAACTGAAAAAAAAAAAAAAAACAATAGATGAAAATGGAAACTACCATGCAGACGGGAAGAATAATTCATACCTATCAAAATAAGAAAAATACCACAGCAGTATGTAGCACATACAAACAATGACATATTTTAGAATCAGCTGCCATAAAGTAACATAGAAAACAAATACCAATTCAGTGACGGAAAGATTAATCAAAAAAACCTCCATTTTCCTGATAAACATAAAAATGTCTTACAAATTGCATGTTTGTACACAATGTAATATAGTCGTGTGAACTGGAGTAGACAAAGGGATTTTTGTTTTTCTGAATATAATTTATAAACTGTTTTTATTTGAAACCAGACTCGGCTCAAAAAAGGCAACTGTATCAGCAAGGTGCCCCCCCCCCCCATTCTGCGAAGTTCTTCCGCATCCATCAGAGTGAAATTAGAATAGTCTGTCACATGCTCACAAATTCATAGCATAATAATTTATAACAAGCGTTACAAATTAATAATTTTCGTATTATATTATGGCATAATAAGAAAAAGGTGAAGGTGTAGATTAAGGTTGGTACCCCCCATGCTAACCCAAATATGCATAAAAAACAAAGTAATTGCACAACCTTATCACAAGAGGGCAGAATATTGTATCATAATTGTGTACTAATGAGAAATTTCCTCATCAATAAATATTTGGTATGCACTTATTTTATCAACCAAATCGAGAGATCACTATTACCACCCTATTTAACACCTAGACCTATTTAACAAATGTTGTACTCTTTTGTAAACCAAATTCATCATTGTATTTCATGACAGCGCAATAAATAAACATTGTATTGTATGTATTATGAGAAGAGTATGTAGTTATGTATGTGATGCACAATGGTAACAAATATTTCTATCAGAGGTGGTGGGTTGCAGAATTGAAAAAAAAAATACACAGGAAAGAATCATGACCAAAATAATCCTGCACAGAGAAAATAAACAAAATTACCACTAATTCATTACTGAAATAAATAACACAAAACTAAATGAAAGACAAAAAATATTTTGTGCATAAATATTTTTCTATCGCCCCACCCGACCCAGAATATCTGATGATGCAGCCCTTACATCATAAGTTTTTAACACCACACTGACTCTAAGACTGGTATGGTTAACTTATGGTAAATAGTTTTCATTTTGATTCCAGCGCCACAAAGTGATAAATGAGGCTACGTGTACCTGGTTTTCGTTCATTCACGTCAGGGGAGAGCGTTTTCAGCAGATACGCTGATAGAGTCTGCAAATTGGCGTCGTTGATCTCCATCTTGCCCAGTTCAATATCTGTAATTAATAGCACTATATAAATGTGCAACAAGCTACGCCCATACCTTAGAGACGGGCAAATCCGACGTGATTAATAATAATGACATCATTCGTTTCCGATGTTCAGCATAGTTGTGCAACTCGTCGCCAACAAACATAATTCGGACAAAATTTAATTCAAAGTACGTGAGTTCAAATTAAATATAGGTTGAGGTGCTTAAAAAATATTGAAATCAAACATTCATGTAATAATTAAATGAAAACGAACGCAAACGTCAAAACTCACATGTGCAGTTTCTGGAAGTCTTTTTTCAAAATGGCGCCGCTGTATAGGCGCATGCGCGTGTACTGAACCTAGAAATTGCAGTTTTAAAAAATAATATGTATTATTGAAACAATGTATAATGTAGAATGTGTGACTAAACATGGCGATTGTATCTATCCATGCATGTTGGGTTTTAATGTATATTGATATTACATGTCGAATCAAAATATTGCTTGTTGAATAAAAAGCCACCAAGCGGTTTAAAATTATGTTCTTTTGTTTAAATCCACCTTCGTCTAATAGTGTCACATGATATTACCAGACCAATCAGAAACCAAACGGAAATGCCGCCATCTTAGTAAATCCACTTTGAAATTACTCTGACTTTCGAAATTCATGCGTCTTTATTCGGAAATTTAACGCGTTTGGAATTGTCTCTGTGGTCGTTTGACATAGTTTGCGGATTTTTCATCACTGCAGAACAATGTCGAACCCTGGTGGTGGTAAAATTCGCTCTAGAAGATCACATCCGTCGAAGAAACCATACGCAAGGGCGCCGAAGGTAAATTCTGACCTATCGGTCACGTTTTTGTCGAGCTCATCTTTTTCGATGTTGCCTACATTGATTACAAGCTATCAATGCTTATGTCAAGTAGATGTGTTCAGATTGATGTCCACAACGCAAGTAAATTGCGAATATTCATTATGACATGTATTGTTTCACAGCTGCGACCGCCGTCCGTTTCGAAGTTGGGACAATCATGAATGAGAACATGTGCGACGGTACGTCGCTACTGTTCGATTGTCGTTGGATATTGCATTCAATCATTATTGGGCTATCGTGCCAGATAAATCTGTCGTTTCATTTCTTAAATTTGCACATTCAAATCGTCTTATTAAATTATGACGTTGAATCAGCGAGGAATCAATCTAATGCATCTACTATGCGAGACAGCGTGTGTGTCAATGGACATGATGTTGATGCAGACAGTTAACCAGTAGCCCGGGGCAGCAGCTCAGTAATTGTCATCACGTTATAATGCGTTTCCCGCTATTCAAACCAGATTATATTTGTCTACTTGCTATTATTATTTGCATGTTATTGTTTAACCAATTTTCGGTAAAATTAAGTAAGGAGTTAATTGTTTTTTAATTATGTACTACTATTACTGATTAATAAATTTGAACAATGAATGAAAACAAGGTGTTACTTGAAGGTGTGAATCAATGATTTCCTTTCTGAAAAATGTCAGATCATTTTATAATGGTTAAATGTGAATCCTGGGATTGCACCATAGAACAATCATGAAGCTGTGTGACATAATTTAAATCACATGGTTTGTAACATATCTAAGTCAGTATTAACATCTGCAAGCCCTTACAGCGAGTACCAAAGGTACGAGAAGGGAAGACACTAATTTCATGAAATCAACACTCTGCATTTTCAACAGTAAAATCAATTTGGAATAACATGCTCTATGTCGTTATCATGGAAAATGATTGAAAAGTAAAAACAGCACCCACTTGTCGCTGATTGGCTAATAAAGTGGGAACTGTCCTGAAATGACCTTTTACCCACCAATCAGCGACAAGTGGGAAATTCTCGGTTTTAGGGAAAAAGAGTCTTTGTTGCTCGGGAACAAAAATATCAGCATATGATAAGCAGCTCAATGATAAAATTATTATTTATCCTAATGAAGGTATTTTCAATGTATTATGTCCTAATTATTATTTTTGTTTTCAGCAATCTATTTTTGGTAAAGTAAAAGATACGCTTAGCCATCTCACTCCATCATGGTTGACCAACATATGGACACCATCATTGCCAGATGCTAAGCAAGAAGACGACGTAGTAGAACCAGGGCCGCACAAAATTCACATCAAAAGACAGGTTTCTTTTGAACGGCTAGCATCTCCGATACCACCTGAGTTTGATGATAATGAACAAGAATATGGTTCATCGCGAAACCAAAGACAGAATGTAGATTTTAAATCACCTTTACTAATTCCTAACAGAAGGTATGAACCGAGGACAAGCTCTCCCCATGATGTTGAGCAGGAGCAATTGACAACAGAAGACCAGGAAGAGACTGAGAAAGGTATGTACTACACACATGGATGTGTTGTCTACATTAATTGTATAATTAGTTTAAACTCAATAACTCAAGTATTGTTTATTTAATTTTAGCACAAGTTGCTACATAAACTTGCTGTAATGGAAGTCTATTTTGTTTTTCCCCTTCAACAAACTAGTCTTATTCAATTATAATATTAGTTATAATAGTGCATGGGCCTATGTGAAGGACAGGTACATGTATGTCTATGGTCAAAATAAGTTATATTTAAATGACCCAGTATACATTAAGCGTAATCTTTGTTTTGCTATGTGGTAGCAACAGAGCATATACTTTAATAATTAAATAATTAATAAGTGAAAATAAGAATCTATCAGCAAAAAAAAAATGCTACTAAAAATGCTAAATAGTTGAAGGTTCTATTCTTAGATGAATCCCCCCTCCCCCCTCCCTCACAAAGTGTCAGATTCAACACTTTTTAAGGGGGTAGGTAAATAGTGAATAAAATTGTTCTCGCCACTTATCCAATATCCTGTATGTAATATTCTTGTATGCTGCTCACAGAGGAAGACTCTGCCTCAGAAACCTCGGTGTCTACCAGTGGGTGTTCATCATTGGTACCACATGTGGATAAAGTAGACTACAAAGAAAGAACGGAAAGAGACTACAACGAAAGAACGGAAAGAAGACTACTCACAGAAGCTAGCAGTGTACAGAAAGGTGAATGCATAGCTCAGCTAAAGTATGCCAAAAACCTTGTAGATATTGGCTACTTATCAGGTTGTGATATAAAACTATGGTAATTGATCTGATTCTTATAGCGCCATTAAGCTGTTTCAAATTTTGTGTAAACAATGTACTATTACACACTTTGATGATTTTATGGGGATATACGGACAAAATTTCATACAACCCATGTTTGTTTTTTACTTAAAAATCATGGTAATTTGTCTCTCTCAAAATTAAAGCTGTTTATGTCTCTATCCTAAAAAAGTTTCTATATATATTATCACTGGTACACTGCTTCAGTTCTGTGTGAATTTTATTATCTTCTTACATGATCCACAGCAAGATATCTTCTGCTTTTTAACTGGCAATATGTGGACTGTTATAGTTGCTACATCTTTATTGACATAGTAGTCCTCCCATGTTTCTATTGATTTGAAGTGTGTAGATTTCATGCTGTGATGAAATGAAAGTTAATGTTTTTTATGGCATTGAATTTATTTTCATCAATGAATTATTTTTTGGATGAAAAAATACAACTTAAGGTAGAGATGCAGGTTCGTGGGCACTTGGGAGTGAAATTTTTTTCTTTTTGCTTTTTATTATCCAAACAGTCTTGGCTATAGATTGTTAAAATTTTGTAGAATTGTGAATGGTGGAACATACTCAAAAAACAATTTTAAAATATAGATAACAGGTGCAAACATTCTCTCTTTTGAATGCTTAGCAAGATTTAGCAAGGCTGTACATAAATAATAAAAAAACATGGTGAAAAAAGTTATGACGGGATATCCATGTTATGCACTATATTTAACTTTTTACAAAAAAAATAATAGTTAAATTTGGAACTGTTACATCCATTTTAATTGTGAGTATTAGCAAACTTCTTACTGAGTGAATGTTATGCAAATTAGTATTATCTCGGCTTCTTTTCAGTGCACATCCCAGAACATTAAAAAATAGCTCCTAGACACTTTGACCTTTTGTTTTGAAATTTTCACAAATGATCGACAATGTGCTTATCTTCAAAACGCCTTCGGGGCATTGTTTTTGGTTGAACAGTGTTACAACAATCGTACAGACAATTAGCCTGGGTGCTAATTTATGCATAAACTTGAAGTAGTGAAATTTGAACTGCTGCCCTGCAAAATTGACAACTGGTAGACAGTTTTCAAGACGGCACTTTCTTCATAGTAAACAGATGTACCCATAAACCAATTTTGACAGAAAACAGAAGCATGGTTTAGAAGCTAATTTTTTTTAAATCACTTTTGACCAAAAAAGCACATTTTTGTGCATTTTTCAAATTACAGTGTCCATAAAAAAAAATTTACAATTCATACAATAAGCTTCCTGAAAATATATAGTTTTGTGGATAACGGAGGTCATCTTGGTTTCCTAATTAACGAATTAAAATACCTGTCATGTAAACTGTATCTCTACCTCAAGGAATTACATAAATGTCATTCTTTTAAAACTGTTACTGTACTTAATCTGTGGTGATAAAAAAAATAGATTTGCCTTTTTCACAAATTTCTGCACCTTGGTGTAATTTTTGCACGTTTGCAGTTTTTCCTGGTAACTTAAAATTTCCTCTGTTTATCTTTGTTACACAGAGAAGACCCGAAAAGAGGAACGTCGTAGTCTATGGTCAAGAATTAATACAAACACTCCCGGTGTCTCCAGACCACAAAGTGCCACTAAAAGTGCAACTAAACCATCTTTCAATGTGTCCTACTTTGGGTCACCATTATATGTAAGTATTATCACTTCTTCGTATATGTCTTGCATTTAAAAACTGTGAGAAAGGTGATACATTTATTTGACCATGTGTTCTATAGTTACTGAGCTGCTAGAATACTATTGAGTGAAGGAGTTACTGTGAGTTCTCGGGACTCATCTTGGTTTCTTTGCATGTGGAGTGGAATTGTTCTTTGTGCATTGGTAGTACAAAAAAAAAATAGCATGTTGGCTTATGAATTGAACAACAAATTGTTACAAGGATACCAGTACTCAAAAATGTACAGTGCAAAGTTTCAATTGAAAACTTATCTCATGTTCATGTGACAGTTTTTGTATTAGTACAATACAGTCACTTATGAGACCAACTGGGATTGGTAGTAATAACTTTCATCCAATTTATGTCCTTGTGGTGCATCATGAACAGTCTAGCCAATGTTTCATTCAGTGAGAACTTTTGTGATTTTATCTCAAGAAGAAACCAAAGAAATGTTTCTCGGATTGTCTCGTGAAACTTGAGAGAATTTTATCAATGAAGAACAGTGACTGACGTGTTTATTTTACCTATAGGGGTCATCTAATGCCAGCATGTCATCTGCTACTCCTGGTACATCATCATTCTATCCGGGGAAGACTACATTTGGTGGGTCTTCAACTCAAAGGGCATCAGCCAAGAGAAGACGCACATCCCCGTACGAGGTAAACTTGTGATATATCAGTGTACAAGTTATCATTACATAGAGTAAAGACCTAGTGTGTAATTTTTGTTTTCACCTAGTTTGGAGCTATTTTTTTATTTGCGATAATGCAACTACAAAGATTTGTTGGCTTTTTACCTACAAGTATGTATGGAATTATTTGTAACTTTTAAATCCTGTGGCTGTGATTTGGCTCGAAGTATAGCCACTGTACACTATATGTCGGAACAATTCACGAAGTTGGAACGTCTCATGTCAGGATTGACATTTATTGAACTTTGATATGGAAACATCGACATCCGCTTGAAACAACAACAAAACGAAAAAAAAATAACGATAACAATGGCGCGAGGACCTCAAGTGACACATGACACAAAAGTCAAGTTGTGATAGTCGGTTCTAAACCAATCACCGATCGCGGTAATAATGTCATAGGTCAAATGCAATTTAAGATATAATAGGAATACAAATAATCTAAACTAAACATCAAAGCTATTGCTGCACAGAAATAATACAGCGAATTGAATAATAATTATAGAAAACATTTTGATGTCTAACTAGACAATTTTAACTTAATTAACAAACACATATGATTTGCATCTCTCCCTGACAAATCCCCACTCTTCTCCGAAATTGAGAATTACACTATATAAATACAAGTAGACCATCATTGTTAGGATGCCTAAAGCAGCTTTTAAGTCTAGTTAGGCAAATATTTCTTTTCACTGAACACGTGTAATCTATTGCAGGTGTATCAACCTGTAAAGAGACAAATGAGACCCAAACCTGTAAACAGTACATCAGAGGATTACGGAGTGACCAGTATGACTGCCAAGAGAATATTGGAAACGTTAGAAAAGATGTCCACGCCATTGTCAGATGCCAGACGTATACCAATTACACCATCATCATTATCATTTACAGTAAGAATTTATCACGTCCTCTTTACTTGAAGGAAAAAGTCCCAGGTTTTTGTAATTCTAGGCTGGTAGTTGAATTTCAAAATACAGATTTCACTGACTGCAAACCAATTGTCCCAGTTGAAATCTACAGGTATAATAGAGGGTGCTCACATTAAAACTTGTTTTTTTTGCTTGACGTGGATCGTTTGTACGGTAGCACGTATTCTATTTTGCTGTTGGTTGCTCAGACCACATTTGAAAACAATCTATGTAGAGAGACCATCACAATATGGAGAATGAACAAGATTAATCAAATTTGTTGTTGACGCTTACAGCCTTCTGGAAGAAATGCCAGCAGAACCCCAGGCAGTAGTTTTTCAACGCGACCTGACCTCAGAGGACGAGCTCCACCTGTATATGGCCTTCGTGTACCGTTACAAGCCAGCATCGCCAAAAATAGACAACCTCCCCCTACAAGTAAACCACCTGAACCTGAATCAACTAAAACGGTATGCTATATAAAACTTGGATTTGTACTTTAATCTGTAAAATAATGAGGAGTAGAATGGGAATGTATGTTTTCTGTGGTTGTCAAATTAAGTGACAGGCAGTCTAGCTTCATGACTTCCTTAAAGCAATTGATATTATTTACCTA